TATATCCTACACCACGGCGCGCGTTGCAATATGCGCCCAGATGCAAAACGACGTCGTTTTATTTTTTTATTTTTTTATTTTTTGAAATTTTCCGCCCCAGTGAATGGCAGTAGTTTTTTCTTTAAAAAAAAAAAACCGCTGTTCAAGAATGTACATAATGTTATACTAGAATACACATAATTGTATACATGAATGTACATAATTATATAACAAAATATACATACTCTTTTTAAAAGATAATACACATAATCTAACATAATACATAATAAACATAAACTTTTAACATAATACACATCAACTATTAACATAATACACATGATGGGTAAATACGTACAGAAGAATAATCCGTATGACCAGTCCGTCAAGAAGTCATCCGACCGGTTCGTTACGGTAATAATCCCGACAGGACTAAATCACTTGTGGTCAAACCGCACTGTTCGTACCGATAGGCCTCATGACAAGAGAATATGCTCTCGGATCACTCTTGGAATCGCCCCGACGGAAAGTCACCCGACCGGTCTACCGTAGGGTGACCGGTCGGCCTGCAAGATGACGTAGCCTGCAGAGCCGAAAACGTAACTTGCACGACAAGTCTTGGGATGCAACTTGCACTTGCAGGGCGATGATGGACAGCTTGCAGGTAGGACGGCTCCGTCTCATCGATCAGTCAACCTACGCATAGCTGCAAAGCGACCGCCTGACTGAGCCAACGAGAAGACGCCACGTCGATCCACTTGCAGCAGGCGCATTAAATGCGTAGACCGACTCAAACAGTACAAATAGGAGGATCTCCTCCTCACATCTCATCTTCATCTCATCATAACAACTACTACTTACTACTTGTACCCTTCACCCTGTAATAGCAACCCGCTTGTAACCTATTACTTACTAGTTGCAATACTACTTAGCCTCGGACGGTTCAGTCGTCGCCCGGTAGTCCGACCGACCGGCTGACCGTCGAGCGCTTCATTCTACTCGTTCACAAACATACGTATTCGTAGTGTAACCGTAACCCCCGGTTCAATTTACGCTATCAACACAAAAATTTTTTGATTCGAATGTACATAATTGTATAAAAAGAATTTACATAATTGTATAAAAAATATACATAATTGTATGAACCAATACATATAACTGTATGAACAAATACACATAACTGTGTGAATAAATACACATAATCCTAGTAACTTCCTACCGCGCCTCCCAAAATGACGTCGTTTTGGGAGGCGCGCGGCGCACAGTGCTATGTGCGCCGTGGTGTAGGGTATAACGATTGGCGAGGAATTGTGTAGTTGTCGAAGTTAGTTAACAACTTGACTTTCTTGTCGGCCCGCAAATGAACACTGAACACCCAAATTCATCTTCTTTCTACATTTTTCCTGCGAAAAAACCGAGAAGCAGCTTCAATCCTCTGCAAACACAAGTTAATCAGAAGCCTTAGTCGCCTTATTCTGGTTCGTACCCGAAGATTTTTTATTTATCTCTGTCTGTTTTTGTTTTTGATAAGTTATGTATGAAACGTCGAACAAGACAGTTAAGAAATTGTATGAATTGTGGTTGAATTAGAGAGTGATGGGCTATCTTGCTGCTGTGAGGCTCGGGGTTATGGTGATTGATGAATTGATTAAGCAAAATGTTTCTGCAATTGTGTGTCGATAGTTTGTCTGAGGTTTAAGCAAATGTGGTTGGAAAGTTTCAATCTTGATAGGTTAATTCCATGTTCATAGGGTTCATGGAAAGTTTGTTAGTAAACAGATGAATTTAGTTTGTGTGCACAATAGTAATTGGTATGTTTGTAACATGAATCAAGGGGGAATGGTTCTAAATCTTACAGTGATACTGTTAAGAAAGTAGCAATTGAAGGATTTTCTGTGCATTTGGGTAAATCTCGTCCTGTGACCTTAGCCAACAAACAAGAAGGTTGATTGGTTCAAACAAGAAGGTCAATAGGCCGCTTCTATAGAGAGTCGAACTTGTAATCTTATGATTACCATGTAAACAACTTGACCAACTTGAATGGGGTTGCCCTCGCAGTTAAAAAAGGCACATGGGGATTGCGAAAGAGGTCAGGCAACTCCCTGAACTTCATCTAATCAACTAATCCCGCAATATGCTAAAAGACCAAGAGTTTGGTAGCTAATGGTTATGATATATATATATATATATATATATATATATATATATATATATATATATATATATATATATATAAACCTATTCTCGTGAGACCCTTAGTAAATGCACTCACAAGCTACTACATGGATGCACACAGGGTAGATTGTGTGCATTGCTGAGGGGCGAATTGCAACAATCTAGTCTGTGTGCATTCGTGTAGTAAACTATGTGCATTTTCGAAGAGTCTCACGGGACTCACAGGATGATGTGGTCTCATTTGATTATTACTCTCCATTAACATATGAACCCTCATTTTTAGGGCTAATTCTTTGTGGAGATACATAAATTAAGAACGTAACAAAAAACTCAATTTAATTATTTTTTTTTTTAGTGTTCCTCCTATATGAGCTGAGTTCATCATGGTGGATGTGCGTAGTTGTGGGAAGCTTGTTGCCTTGGCAACTTTAGTCTCAGTTGGGATCGCGTTGCAAATACTGGTGACTCCTGCCTTTGCCTAATTTTCTGTAGATTATTAAATGCTATATGCCATTGTTTCTGTAATTTTTCTTAGTTACCTCTTCTTATGTGTTAGGCTTGTGCTTTGTTCAATAACTGGTGGCCAATGCTAACAGGTAGGTTGAACGCATACCCAGAAAATAGGTTAATTAAAAATATACCTTTTGATGCTATTAGAGTATCAAGAGAGCATTCCATTTGTTTCTGTGACTGGAAATCATAAATGCAACTATAAATGGGAATCTTTTGTTCAGAGAAGCAGCATAAATCGCATTTCTGTTCGTTTCATTGCAGTAATGAAGTGTGTGTACATTCTAATGTTCATTTGTGCAGCAATAATGTATGTCATGCTTCCGATGCCTTTGGTTTTCTTTGCGGGATCAGATGCTTCGTCTCTCTACTCTGCATCTGAAAACGGGTAAGTCTCTTCGCATAAATCAAGCCACATAGCATAGCTGCACTCTTCCACGGCTCCACCAATACGATTGTTCATGAATGTTGATCATATAGTCATTAATGTGCAATCCAACTATAAGCTTAGGCTTTTAGTTGAGATGGTGCACATGCTTCAATTTGGTATCAGAGCCATGTCAAAGGTCATGGGTTCGAATAAGCGACTATGGTCTACGTGTTGCACATACAGCCATTAATGTGCAATCCAAGGCTTTTAGTTGAAATGGAGCACATGCTTGCTGTTTGCTAACCCGGTTGGTTTAACCGTTTAACAGCTGGGTGGAAGCAACTAAGTTCTTGACCGGAGCTTCAGCGGTTGGCAGCATCGCAATCCCAGTCATCTTAAAGCACGGTGGTGTGATCGGTTGGGGAGCCATGGCGATGGAACTCTCATCGTTCTTCGTTTTTGTTCTAGCTATTGTTTGTTACATTGTAACCGGTGACGATGGTAGCTACAATATACTTTGATCCCCCATTAATCTCCTGTTTTCCATGTATAAGATGTTCATGTGCCTCCATTCTTGTTTGTTTAAGCATTATATTGTAAAATACAGAGTTCTCTTTCTGTCAATTCATGTTCCTCTTCAGTCTTCTATTTCTTTTGCTCTCTTCTTCACTCCACTTCTCTCAATGATCTTTGTTTTTCTACCTTAATAATACACCATCTTCTTTCTCAATAAGTGAAATATAAAATAGTATAACTTCTATGGTATCTATAAGAATTGTGTTACTCATAATTTTTTGATTAAAATGATAAGGATATTTTGACAAAATACAATTGTGTTTCATAAATATCTTGTCTTAATAATTGAGGGACTGAATCAGCTATCTTATCCTAATTTGATGACTAAAAATGTTGTTTTTTCATTGTATGAATATTTCGAGGATCATGAACATTGACAATTAATGAATTTCTTTTAATATGGTCCATATAATAATGACTTTTTTGGCTAAAAAAAGTAAAAACACTCAACCTATCTCTTTTAATAATATGGGATTTATTATTATAAGACGTACTAAAATAATAATTTATCTGTATACTCATTTCGTACTAGCTCAAAAGTGAAAAATGTTTAATATCTACTCGGTATTAGGTACAAACAAAAACGACCCAAATCATAATAGTTAATTAGTAATCTCAATAACTCTATCAGGGCGTTTGGTTGGAAAGGAAAAATTACGTGAGAAAGGAATTACAATTTCATGGGAGATGAATTAGTGGAAATAAAGTGAGAATTTAAATTCCAGTGTTTGGTTTATAGAAATAAAATTACTGAGAATTTCAATTCCAATGTTTGATATACATGAGAATTGAAAGGGAATAACTAGTATAAAGTTAAAAATGTCGATCGTTGTTGTTAGACATTAATTTTAAGTTAAAAAAGGAAGAGGTGATTTTGATTCATCACTATCTTTTTTTCTTCCTAAAATCCCAGGAATTAAAATCCATAGAGAGCATGAGAATTAGATGAGAATTAAGTGAAAAGAGATTTAAATTCCCTTCAACCAAACAGCCTGTAATATGTTGGTTGCTATAAAACGAGAATAACAAATAAACTCTCCTCAAATGTTAATAATGGTGACTTAATCCAAATAAGTTTGGGATGTTTGCGGCAAATCATTCTGTGGACCATGGTCCATCTTTCAAGGTGGGTTCGGATCTAAAATATATAATTTACCTATTGAATATTTACGATTTTGTAAAAGGTAAAATGTGAACATTTAGTATGTAATTTGTGAACATTAAATATGTAAATTGTAAACGTTGAATATGTAAATTATAAACATTCAGTATGTAAATTGTGTATTTTGAACGTTGACTTTGTGAACCCGGGTCCATGGATAACTATTGGATGTTTGCCGCTATTCTTGTCGTGGATAAGATTTAATCCCATCACCACCCAAACCCAAACGAGAATAGCAAACAAAGTCTCCCCAAACGTTGTCCACGTGAGCCCAGCTTTATCTTTCACAAGTCCAAACAGTAATCCTGCTCCACCTTGGATTGATTACAATAACAAATAACAGTGTCTTAGGGTTTGTTTATTCAGATTTCCCACCCCCACCTCTCTGCCTTCAATTTATGCTTCGTAGAAGACCTTCAGCCTGTAATCGGTCAAGCTATTCGTCGTATTTGGATTTGATTTGATTTGTAGAATCGATCCGGGTGGAGCTCCGGGAATCACAATCGGAGCTGTTTCCTCGATTCTGCAGCGGTTTAATTGTAAGGTTACAGCATCAGTTTTTATTTTTTTGTTCCCCTCCATTTTTTTAAAAAAATAGTTTTTGCTTTTCGTCTGGGCGTTTATGTAAAGATGTCGTAATGGGAATCGCCGCATGGTTTTGGGGAAAATGGTTTATTTTTATTAACTAATTGCGGTGAATTGTGATTGTTGTTTTCTTTGATCAGCATTTGGAATTGTGTTTCATTTTCATTTGTCTGCCTGTACTAGTGGTTATGTCAGGGAGCACTTGTTTTTCATCCATAATATAGTGAATAAGACTGTCAATTTTTTGTGTTTGAGGGGTTGTGAAAATGCAGTCAAGTAAATATCTTCAGGTGGGGATAGGTGAGAAATGTGTAATGTTGTGGATTGGTAATTGGGTTCAGGAGATATGATTTTGCTTTAAGTTTGTAGAGTCAAGTTTTGGCATTTGGTACACGAGGAAGGTGGCATCCATTTGTAGGGCATGTGTATGAAGGTTGAAGGTCTTCGTGTCACAAAGTATAAGAAAAGGGATGGGATGGATAGAGTGAGTAGTAACACCTTCCTTTTCTAGTGGAAGCAGAATCACCTGACTCAGGAAAAATGTTTGTAGAATAATGGGTTTTTATGGCTGAAAATGGTACCATGTCACCAACAGTGTAGTGGCCTTGGCTTTCAAAGTGTCTTGTTCTAAGCTTTTAGAATTTAAAAAAATAAAATAAAATCTTTTGCTAATGTCTCGGCCAACTGAATCTCCATCAACTTATGGAGCATTGGGTCTCACTTTAGCTGAGGCTGAAAACATTTTGGTTCAATTTTAGCTCAGACTGGAAATTTGAATTGAATTGGATGGTGTATATATGATACCCTCTAGGCATGCTGTACATGTCTATAAAATCATTGATAACATAAAAAATTCCTTTTTTTTTTTTTTTTTTCTTTCTGCTCAATTTATGTTTAAAAGGTGCCTTGTATTGGTTCTGCTTGCTGATGATTGACAAAATATGTACTAGCATAGTGTAGCATGTGTTTTAGTAAAAAACATCAGTGTCTAGTTTAAAGACATGTATCTAATGCAATAATGCCTATAAGCCATCAATAAAACATATGGGTTTCTACTTCATATGCAATATTTACGCATCGTCCCTGCCTTTGCCCATACATGTGGTGCATTTTTGGCTCAATAATCCAAACAATTCAATTTTGTGCCAATCTGGGATGGCTAAGATTAATTAACCTCTTCAGCTGCAGATGATACTTAGTGTTTTGTTATGTGATGATTACTACTTGAAGAAACTTCTTTGTTTATTATGATCAAGAGAATTATCGTTCGAAGATTTGATTTTGAGGAGTCCATTAAAGGGGAGGCCAATTGATGGAGATTGTTTCTCGGTTCATTGATGGCATGACTCTATCTGTTTGTGCATCCATTACAGGAAAGGTTTTCAGTCATCTTGCTCCTGAATCTTCTGAAAGATCGTGCACAACTTTGTAGGGGTAGCACCAGTCTTCTTGCAAGAAATGGATCCTGGTCGATATTGCCCTCAGCAAGGATGGGAAAATAACAGCGTAATTGTGGTTTCCTTCTTAATCACATATATGGGATGATAAACAAGAAACTAGGCTCATGAGACTGTCCCATTTTCAGACATCTCTTCCTTAAAGAACATTGAAAGAAAGCCTTGGGACAGTGAGGATGTGGAATGGATTTCCCTACCTTGTACCATGATAATTAATTGCTGACATAGCTTATTGTCTTGAATCCACAGGCTTTGGAGGGTTATGGTGGAGTCCATGAGCATGACTTCCGGTGAGTGAACAGATGTTTAAAAGGATTCTTTCATTTCAACAACTGATTTCCTTTTAATTGGTATAATTTTATTTCTTAATTCACATGAAGGACCAGAGTCTTGTTTTTATAATGATTTCCTTTTAGTTGACATCTTCATTTTAGTTATGTTACATGAAGGAATGCATTGGAATGTTATTTTAATGATGTTAGTCCTTTGCTGCTAGCATAATTTCTTGGGCAGGCATCTATTTGGGGCTCTTCAATTGTCTTGCTCTTTGCATTCTATCTTGTTCTTTGCTCTTCCTCTATTCGCCTTTGCCTCATTTTCTTTTGGTAGGGTTGGTGGTTCTTATGATGATAGGAGATTTGTTGATGAACGGTTTTCAAGAGACAATATTTACCCTAGGAGTGGGTTTCACCGTGATATTCTGGAGAGGGAGCAGTACCCACATCCACCACCACCAGTTGGATTGTGGGCTCCAACAAGGAGAAGAAGTTATGAAGAAGAATATCCACTGGATAGGGATTCCAGGAGGAATGAGAAGATGTATGTTGATTTATATCATTAAACAGATTCTTTTCTTGAAGCTGATAAGTATCACGAGATTAGTGTATTCAGGGTGGTCATCACAGTTTGACAACAACCATGATCTTGGATTTGGCAGGCCCACCAGGTATGGAGGACGTGACAGAGATGATTATGCTTATGAGCATTATGATTATCGCCATCGCGTTTCTCATCAAAGCAGGGAAGATAGCCATGAAAGGGACTATGATTATGGTAGACACAGTTATGATTCTGACTATGACAGAGGCAGTAGGAGAGACAGTAACTGGAGACGGCGTGATTCCCGTGATCGTGAGCATGATAGGAGAGCCTCAAGCCGGGAAAGAGATCACAGTCCATATACAAGGCATGAGCGTTCCCGTTCACGGTCTCGCGATCGTGATGATCGCCTGAGGTCAAGGTCTCCTCGAAGTCGAAGTCATAGCCGTAGTCATAGAGAGGACAGTTATGATGATATCCGATATGATAGAAGTGAAAGGCGTAGGGACCATGATGACAGACGACACCATGACAGCTACTCTGTGGTATGTTTCATAATTTATTTTAAGTTTTTCTTTGTAGACATTATCTGTTAACTTTCTTGTGTGTATGTGTGTCTGTCTGGTACTGATTAGGTATGCTATTTCCTTGTAGGCTCCTTCTGCTACTGTCGTTGTTAAGGGCCTTTCTCAAAAGACAACTGAAGAAGATCTATATCAGATCCTTGTACTCCTCTCTCTCTCTGTCTCTCGTCAATTGTCAAATGCAAAAATGAAACGGAACACTATTTTGGATGCATGTGACTTGTTTTTTTGTTTTTATTAGGCTGAATGGGGACCGCTGCGCCATGTTCGTGTGATCAAAGAGCGAAATTCTGGTGTCTCCCGTGGTTTTGCTTTTATTGATTTTCCTTCTGTGGTATTGATTGTAGATAGCTTTTCAATTGTGTTTTCTTTATATAGCATAGAGAGGTGGATCTTAATTTTCCTATTACAGGATGCCGCTCAAGCAATGATGGATAAGCTTGGGGATGATGGCCTTCTTGTTGATGGTAGGAAGCTTTTCTTTGAGTACAGGTAATTCAGGCCTTTATTTTGTTTGGATTGTAAAACTGTGTAGTTTCTTCACGATCCATCCTATTTGTTTAAGATATGGAATATCTTCGTTTCTAATTTTTTTTATGTTTTACCGATTGTTGCGGGTTCCTGCTGTTGTATAGGATTTGATTCTAAAAAACTTAGTTTTGGTGTCAATTAACTTGCCCTGTCACCTTTTCTGAACCATTTGTGTTTGGGACTGAAGATGTATTTCTCCTCCCTGCTTGCTTGCAAGGCTAATTTGGGCAATACTGATGTTTTCTTGTCTTGATTCCTTGAAATTAGTTGCTTTAGCAATACTGATGCTTGCTTGCAAGGCTAATTTGGGCAATACTGATGTTTTCTTGTCTTGTTTCCTTGAATATTAGTTGCTTTAGCTTTTCTCTCTGATTCACCATGCAACTCATGTGGATTCTGGCCTATTTATTGGTGTTGATGAATGAAAATTTATTCACCAGTATGAAATTCTATTATGTGTATTATTTCTATTCCAATTTAGTTCCTTTATTATCCTGAGTTTTGAAAATCTATACAATTCAAAAATGATAAACAAGATGCTACTTGTTACAGTAGCAAACCAACTGGAGGGCCCAATGGACCTCTTGGTGTAGAGAGTGCATCGAGATCTAGTCAAGGTAGCCACAGAAGAATGACAGTTCCATCTGATTGGATGTGTACAATTTGTGGATGTGTAAATTTTGCACGGCGAACATCCTGTTTTCAGGTTCCATCTGATCTTTTTTTTTTTTTTCCCCTAACAACATCTTTCATCTCTGTTCATATTCTTTTTAGTCTGTTATCATGTTATGTTGCATGGCTTGCACTGTATAACAAATTTTTTTCTGGAACCAGTGTAATGAGCCACGGACAGATGATGCTCCTCCAGCTGATATGGCAACATCAAACCCTACATCTCTTGCAAAGAGAGGAGAAGCAGGTTTGCTAGACTCGGCCGGTTAAACATAGCTTACCATTATCATAACCGGTACAATAATGTGTGTTGATATTCTGTCAGGCCCTACCCATGTTTTGGTTGTCCGTGGATTGGATGAAAATGCTGATGAAGAAATGCTTCGCTATGAATTTTCTAAACATGCTCCTATCAAGGTATAACATGATTTCTACCACTAGTTTTTTTCGTTAGTGTCTATTTTCTGGTGTTCAAATTTGATCCTGTGTTATACTTGCAGGATCTTCGACTTGTCAGGGACAAGTTTACCCATGTTTCAAGGGGGTTTGCATTTGTGCACTTCTATTCGGTATGTTTGGCATTGACTATTTGTTCCAATTGACTGTTTGAACATACTTATCCCTCCCAAAAGAAAAGGACTGTTTGCACAGTTTGTTTTAGGACACTGGGAATAATAGTAATCAATAATGTTCAAACATATTATTCTTTCACTGCAAAGGACGTCTATATTTAATTGTAAGAAATGTGTTATTCTGAATGTTATTATGTTATAACCCTTATTGTCTCATATGGGGATAGGTGCCTGGTGTTGTGAATTGTGTGTGCATTGTTGATTTTGGGATTGAGCATGTCTGGAAGTATATATCCTGTTTAGATATCATCCTTACCATTTGGTGAATGATTCAAAGATCATTTCCACAGAGAAGTTAGACATAAATATTTGCTTTAGAGGAATGTATCAATGTTTTATTTAGAATTAAGAAAATTATCTTATGATACATCTCTTTGTACCCAGGCTGAGGACGCTACGAAAGCTCTTGAAGCAACTAATGGAACAACTTTAGAGAGGAATGGACAGATCCTTAGAGTTGCATATGCAAAAAGTATCCTTGGTCCAGGATCTGGGGGACCTGGAGCTTCTCAAGCTAGTAGCCTTGCTGCTGCTGCCATTGAAGCTGCAGCTTTTGCTCAACAGGTATAGACGTATAGTTGCTCCCATTTACTTGGTTAAATTTTTAAGCAAAGAAGAAAGGAGGATTCAATAGGAGTGGCACACTTGGTTATGATTTCTTTATCTAGTTGTGAAAATGCTGTTAGTGAAGCCTTCTACTCTGTATCATACTGTTTCTTTGATGACAATTAAGAGTATCCTCAATTAAAAAAAATGTTGATTATGCATAAACATATCAGAGTCGATGTTTTTGTTTAACTATCCTGCCTTAATGTTTTTAGTATGATGCTGTTGGATGGGCACCAAAGGAATACAATCCAGATGAAAAGCAATCCACTGTTGCACAAGAGCAGGGTGAAGTTGCACATCAAAATGATGCTTCTGCTCCACAATCTGGGTTTGTGTGGGACGAAGCCTCTGGCTATTATTATGATGCTGCTTCTGGGTTCTACTATGACGGAAATACAGGTTTGTCTTTTTATTATATTCAAAGCTGCTCATTCAACATCTTTGTAGTTTGCACAAAAGTGTAGTATATATTGCTCTGATATTGCAGTTGTGAAATGTATTTAGAAATACTTTTGAAACATTTATATTCTATAAACAAAATCTGATGATACACTGCTTCAATCTTTGCAGGTTTATACTATGATGGTAACAGTGGGGTTTGGTATTCATATGATCACCAGACTCTACAATATGTTCCCTGCGGTGATCAGAATGACAAAACAGCTCAGAAACAAAGTGAAAATGCCAAGTCTGCTGATGGATCCAATGCAAGAAAGGTTGTTATATCTGCACCTGCTACTATGACATCAACTGACAAGGCTGCCTCATTACCAGATGCCATCCAAGCTGCAGCCACTGCAGCAATAGCTGCAGAGAAGAAGGAGAAAGAGAAGTCAAAAGAAATAAAAATTGCAAAAAGCAGCATCCTTGCCAACAAAAAGAAGATGAGTAATGTATTATCAATGTGGAAGCAAAGAAGTCACGAAGGTCAAGCACCACGCGTTGCTCTTGATGAGAGTCAGACAGTAGCTGAAGATAGATCTAACTCAGTAGGACCAGCTGCAAAAACCAAATTAAGAACTGATTCTGTGACTACTAGGGAGACTGCAACTACTGCTGGATTTGCGGCAGGGACAACTGTCCAATCAATGGGGATTGAATCCCAGGATAGGGCTGTGACCAACAGTTCTGGGGTAACACTGAAGGGTGTCATCAGAGGCTCTGGTCTTGGAGTGGTGAAAAAGGATACCTTGTACTCCGGTGGATCATTAGGAAGTTCTACTTCAAATACTGTTTCATTTGCCACAGGTTCATCTTTATTGATCAATTCAGATGTCTCAACAAGTGCAATGCCCCCTCGAACAGATACATCTGCAATGAGCTCCTATACACCACCTGTGGCTGCTGGAGGTGGTAAAAGAAGGTTTTCTGAGATGCCATCGCAACCTTTTCCTGACAAGGAACAGCCTTCAAATATTACCTATCGAGATCGTGCTGCTGAGCGAAGGAGTTTGTATGGTTCTTCATCATTCGGAGACAATTTGCCTGATCATGGAGATTCAAGTAAGATTTTAGTGAATGTTTTGGACTAATGTCACTTGTATTCGTTGCTGAACTTTTATTTTCGGAATTCCATTTGTTGCAGCCTAGGCTTTCCTGGTCTTACACTGGTTGCTTCTGTAGTTATGACAGGATATAGTTCTTTTGATAGTTAAAATCATGTCCTTAGGCCCACACCACGCTTAGTGGGGATTATTTTGAGAAGAAGATTCCAATGGTGGTTGATGTATTCTATTCTATTTTATATCTGTATTGACTTGTGCAAGAATTTGTTTTGTTGTTCTGGGAAATGAAGATCGGGACTCCACATTGAAAAGGGGTGTCTTTGATCCAACACCTTTCCCACCAGGAGTTGGGGGTGGACGTGTTCCTGGAGATGCAAATTCTCAGAGCTATGAGATTATTACATCTGATCGAGCTATTGATGAGAGTAACGTTGGGAACCGTATGCTCAGAAATATGGGCTGGCAAGAGGGCTTGGTATCATTCCTTACTCTCCACTTCCCTAGATACTATTTAGATATGTTACTTATCCAAAAAAAGAAAAGATATTATATACATATATTAATATATAATCCCTGCCCTATCTTCTGTTTTCTCATACCTTGTTCCCAGTTCTATACATGATTAAATATTTTATAAACCAATACGTTCCAATGTTTTTGGGAGGGTTGTATTTTTAAGACCAATATAGCCAAAAGCTAATAATTTTCAAGAAGCTCCATAGAGTCTCGAGGCTTTTAGGGAAGTCGCATTTCCAATAAGCTCCAACTGGGGGGTCTTTTTGCCACGAAAGAACTGACATTTGATTTGGCATACCGTTGTTTTGGTTTGTTTGTTGATCTGATGTCCAGGGATTGGGAAAGGATGGAAGCGGGATGGTAGAGCCGGTCCAAGCGCAGTCCATGGACAGTAGAGCGGGACTTGGAAGCCAGCCAAAGAAGGTGGATCCAAGCCTTGAAGTTCAAGCGGGTGATAGCTACAGAACTCTTATACAGAAGAAGGCGATTGCCAGGTTCCGAGAAATGTCGTAGCTTTTAGTTGGTAGACTCGGCTCGCTTAGGTTGCTGCAGAGTACGATTTTAGGTGTTCTATTCTGTTTCTCCTAGTCCCACTTTTGGTGCCATAGATAGTTCTATCTGGAAAATGCAATTCCATTTTGCAGAGTTCCTTCCACCCATTGTCTTCTCTCAATGAACACTCATATTTGAAGGTTGTGAATTGTAAACATCCTTGTTTAATACTTGTCCATTTCTATTTTATATGGAGTTTTATTTTTCTAAAGTAAAAGATCTTTACTTCCAAGTGAATTCCAGAATGCTCGAGGTTTACAGGTGATCGAGAACCTCCTTTCCTCTTCAGAGTTGTTAGGTGATTGAAGGTCTCATTTTCTCATTGGGGTTTACAACCTCCCTTTCCTCTTTGGGGTTTACACTTTATAGGAGATTGAGAACTCCTTCCCCTATTCGTGAGATTGTACGCAATGAGCAAAAGTCTAGTCTCTTTTGGTCAATTGAGTCACTATAATTTATCACTGTTGCAAAAATTGCGCCTAGAGAGCGCTTAGCGATTTTTACAACATTGTAATTTATCCCTTCATAAATTGTCAAGTCGAGGTGTGAGGGCGCTTGAGGTGAGAATATAGTAGGTCTCTTTAGTTTTTAGCAAAGTAATCCTCTAAATTTTGTATACAAAAGAGTAAAATATGCTTACGCATAATAATGAGAATGATCAAAACGGCTAGTCACATATAACTGGGGTTACAACTTGTATAATAACAAGAATGATCAAAATAGTTAACAAGAATTCTTCAAAAAAAAAAAAAAAATAGTTAACAAGAATAATCACAATTATCAAAATGGCATTATAATTTGTATAATAAAAATGGTTACAACTTGTATAATAATGAGAATGATCAAAATAACTAATTACATATAATTCAAATTACAACTTGTACATATTAAAATTTTACTATAATAACGAGAATGATCAAAATGATACTACAATTTGTATAATAACGAAAATGGTCAAAAATGTTAGTCTTGTATAAGAAAGAGTTGATCCCAATTATAGTTTACACTATAGTGGGATCAAAATATAGGTTTTTTTTTTTTTTTTTTTTTTTTGTCTTACTATTCTTCCATTTGTGCTGAGTGATCTTCAAACTGTGTTTGTTTTGGCGGGATCAATTGAAAAACTGCAAAGTTATCAAAACAGTCGAGCGATTCTCCTCCGAGTTGACTCGGCAGTTCAACGATTCCGAATCCTTCCTCCTCCAACTCGGCGAGGCAGTCACTCGTCGATTCCCTCACCTCCGTCGCCGCCCACACTTTCGTCCCTTCCCCACAAACCTCCTTCAGTGTCTTCGCCAGCCCCGCCATCTCCTCCGCGTCGAATAACACATCCGACATGAGCACCGCGTCCACTTCTCCCGACTCAACGAGTCGACTCGGCAACTCATCGCACCCCCAAACCAGCCGACTCACCCAAACTCGCTCCCCCAACCCGTTTGCCTCCACGCTCTTCCTCAGCCCGGGAACCAACGGCTCTATATCCGTCAGGATGACTCGTTTCGCGCCGAGCCTCGCCGCCGTCATGCCTGGTAGCCCCGTTCCCGCGCCGAGCTCGAGCACGGTTTTTCCGGCGAATTCGAAGGTTTGCCGGTGAGTTGCGATCCAGTTGGAAAGCAACAATGCGGAGTCCCATATCCAGGAGCCGGTGAGTGCTCGGCCGGAAACCGAATCGCAGACGTCGTCGAGCTCGTATATCACCAGCTTGTTTCCGAATATATATATTTCTTTAATGCTCATTTCGTGTTCTTTCTATGTAAGCTTTTTGACTATGCATGAAGCCATGAATGCCCTAGTCCTAAAACATTGGCAGAATTTCCGACATTATAGACCCTAGTTTTTAGCCTTTTTGTAATGGAATGGGCGATTGTATTGGGTGCATTTGCCACGTTTTTTTTTTTTTTTTTTTGAGAAAAAAATAGAAAACAGTTCAATTTTACTCAAAAGTACAGTTAGGTCTCTAAACTTTAAAAAAATTAATTACACACTTAAATTTATCATTTTAATAGCTAATAATTCACATGAAATAATCGGTCATTAAGATTTTGACAACAATTTCGACGATAATTCTAACAATTAAAAAATTTTGATGACTCTTTAAATTTTATATAATACAAAATCAGCGATCGTGACCGGTTGTCTTCTTCACTGCAGAAGGTGATCGGACCAATTGTCTTCTCCAATGGAGAATACGACCACGGGAGAAGGCGACCAGTCGTTTCTTCTCTGATGGAGAAGACCAGAGAAGATCACTGGCAATTAATTTAATATTTTAACGATCGTGAACAGTGGTCAAGTTCAACAGTCATAATTTACCGATTTTGTTACTGGTAAATCAGACTTATTTGATTCATTTTTGACAAGATTGAGTGTTTAATTGTATTTTATGAAGGTCCAGGGACCTAATTGCACTTTCGAATTTCGAATAAAGTTCAAAGACATATTTGGCATTTTCCCGTTTGCTTTTTGTTTTTGTTTGTGAAGATGGAAATCGGTGGCTACTAGTAAGCCAGTTAATTAATGTGTAATAGCCCTCAAATCAAACATTTAAAGTAAAATTATATTATGAAGACTTTGTCAACAGATATACCATGGACTCAGGTCCACATTGCAAGATGGATCCGTGTCTAAAATACACAATTTACATGATGAATGCTCACAATTTGAATTGTGAACATTTAGTAGGTAAATTGTAAACATTCAGTATGTAAAATTGTGTATTTTTGAATTCGGGTCTACAAAATAATTAGCTAGACTTTGTGCAATGAATTCAATCAAAAATATATTAGTAAGAACCAAATTCTTGACTTTCTAATACAAGAATCATACCGTAGATTGCTTAGGAAATCACTCAGTTAATATTAGGCCATGTTAGATGAAAATTGCACAACATTCAACTGGTTTAGAGGATAGTTTTCACTTTTCACATAAATTAACTTGGGCCAGATTGCTTATGAAATCAAACAGTTAGACCATTTTCTAAGAAAATTAGTAATTTGGAGGGATTACTTGGACCAAATTGAAATAGGCTCGAATCCACAATATAAAAAAAGTTTAATGGCCTAGAGGAGCGACTGAGTGAACTTCTAAACATGATTTTTGGACTACAAAGTCATGAGTTTAATTATTACCACTACCCTTTTAATCGAATCAGTCACATAGTCTTCGTACCAATGCACAACCTCAAGTAGCGATTGCAGATTTCTCTCATTATAAATTTTTTAATTAAACAAATATTAAAATTTTAAATTTAAAATTTATAAAATAAATAAAGTGTACGTAAGATTTACAAGTGAGACGTGTAATATTTTAAATTAAAATATAATGTTTTTTTAATAAATTCATAAAAAAACAACATTTTTATTAAAAAGTATTTTATATACCATATAAAATAAGTTGAGTATGATGATAACCATCTTTGATCTAGACTGATACGAACAGACAAGGTGACGATGTTAAGTAGGAAGAAAGTGAAGGAATAATCACTGCCAAACACGTGCAATTCGCACGCACGTTAGCCGTTTAATCGGATCGCTGCTGGGGCATTTTAGATATTTCACGGTTCTGTTATAATATCATACATAAAAATATTTCTTATTAAAAATAAAATATAGTTAAATGCAATAATTCTAGGAGTTAATACCCAAAATCGTCCTCGACTATAGTGGTTTTTTTCAATTTCGTCCTAAACGACTTTGGTAACCTAATATCGTCCCAGACTTTTGTGTTTCGCTCAATTTAGTCCTTCATTTGTTATTCCGTCAAATTGGTGTTAAATAAAGGGACAATTCAGTAATGCTAATATTGATCTCTCTTTACTTTCAACTTGAGAAGTGCGAAATTCCTCTTTCTTGTACGAATTACACCCAGAATTACTCCCGGACCTGCAAATCAAATTTTATATTCGCAGTTTTAGGAGTAATTCTGAGGGTAATTCGTAAAAAAAAAAAAAAAAAAAAAAGATTTCGCAGTTTACATGTCTATGAGTAAAGAGATGTCAATATTAAAATTACTGAATTGTCTATTTATTTAACACCAAATGGACAGAATAACAAATGAGGGACTAAATTGAGAAAAACACAAAAGTCTGAGACTAAATTGAGCGAAACACAAAAGTCTGTGACGATATTAGGTCACCAAAGTCGTTTAAGACGAAATTGAGAAAAACCACTATAGTCAATGACGATTTTGGGTATTAACTCATAATTCTAGTTAAGTTGGTCCGATAACTAGCTATCTTTTAGAGTTAATTTCACCTGAAGTCCCTTGTTTTTTGTGACAATTTTAAATTTAGTTTCAATTTTGTCTCTTAACATCCCAGACTATTGTTTTTTAGACACTTTTAGTCATTCTCATGACTTTTCCTACTTTTTGTAATGACATTTTTTGTTGCTTCATTTTTTTTTGTTAATTTTCCGATTTCAACTAGTTTAATTTTTTTAAGACTTTACTAAAAATGGTTAAAAATTATGGTTATTAAAAATCAGAGGTGACATAAATTCTAAACCAATTAAACCGATTGAAATAAAATAAAAAATAAAAAGACAAAAATATCTTTACTAAAAATAAAAAAAATCATGAGAAAAATTAAAAAATATCCAAAAAATAATAATTTATAATGTTAAATAACAAAAACAATAATCTGTGAACCAACTTAGATTTTTAGTTGAGGTAGAGCACATGCTTCAATTATTCAACTAACAAAACTATAATATAGTTGGCTACATAACATTATTACTTTGATTTTACCTAATCTAATTACACGTAGTCCATGTGTGATTACACGAGCTAAAGAAATACTTATTTTAAATATGGTTTAGTTGAGGCGTCGAGCTTTCAACTTTTCATATACCCAATCAGGTATTATATAGTGCATAACTTTACATTATATAATAATAAATTAAAATACCAATTTTATAGGACTAGTAACGAAATTGTCATGACTTAAATAAATTATATTATTTTTAAAAATAATATGATAAAATAGATAAAGTTTGTGTATCACTCATAACTATGCATTTTTTTTTAGAAATATTGACTATATTACAAAAGAATATATATATATATATATATATATATATATATATATATATATATATATTCTAACCTATGCATTAATTATTATGTAAATATTACTGTATTTTTTATGTGCTCTCCTTCTCTCCATCTCTCATTTTCTTAATTTACTCTACTTCTTTTTTATTTATTTTTTTTTGTCCTGAATTTTAGACAAAAATTTAAATTTAATAAGATTTTTTTTTTTAAATGTGGCCTTTAATATTCCCCCTTTATTGGGGAGTAATAATGCAAGTGATAAATATGTTATAATTGCAAGTCCGTAGTTTATACGAAAAGGCATCCGAGGCCGCCATATGGTTTTCTGGTGTTTTGCCACTCTTCTTTGTTCTTATTAGCTTTGTCCCTTTGCCTTTCTTCATATTCAAATCAAACCAATCAAGTAATGAACCAACAAGAAAAGAAAGAAAGAGCTTTGTGCAATATGAAATGTAATACTTATACTATCAAATATAATACTAAATTATGAATAAAAATTTTATTTGGTAAATGACTGTTAGTTGTTAGTTGATTTGGTTAATTAGAGGATATAACATTAGTTAATTGTAGAAATGTGTTTGGTAAATTAGCTGTTAACTGTAACTGTTTGGTATAATTTCTTTGATAAAAAAGCTAATTGAAAAAATTGTTTTGAGCAGCTTTTTGAATTTTAGCATTTTGAAGTTACAAAAAGCTAATTAACCAAACACTAATATTGATTTTTTACCCAAGTCAAACAATTAATAGTAGTCAAATAAGCAAAATTAGCCTAGAGGCTGACTATCTTACCACACATGGCCAAAATATTTATTACTTATATGAGAAACTATAATACTTTTTAATGAAAATGTAATACTTTTACATTTTGATGTAAAAGTATTACATTTTTCATCAAACGATTTATATTTTCATTTATAACTAACAAACACTTGCCAACATTGCTTATAAGATAAAATACAATACTTTTGATGAAAAAATAATACTTTTACATCAAAATATAAAAGTATTATTTTCATTTGCCCTCAAAAGTATTATGTTTTTCTTTATAAGTAACATACCTAAGTATTACATTATTACATTGATCGACATCCCAATACGACTCGTCTTACGGATAAGAATCTGTGTGACGATCTCACATAAATGTGATCTTTGTCATAATTTGTTTGAATGATTAAAAAATAAATATTAGTTATGGTGTTAATTTAATCTTCTTCTTCTTCTTTTTTTTTTTTTTTTTTTTTGTGTATAAGATTTAGTTGCTATGCTTTTAATAAGTGACATATTTGATTTATGATATTTCATTGAAATCCGAGATGCCTTTTAATTAAATTTTATATAAATATATATTAAGTTGGACCACCCTTAATAATATGGGGGTAGAGTGACATTATTTCAATTCCAAACAACCAAAATAAATAACGAAGTATGGCTACTTTGAATTATGTTTTCCCATACTTTATGAGGTTTGCATAAAAATCAACATTGACATTAAATTCAGATTCTTTACATTTATAGTTTAAATAATTTGACTACTCAAATCCAACTATGACAGCTACACAATACCAAATCTGGGTAATAATGATACATATATGCAATATTTCATGACATTTAGATGTAAGATTGAATTTCTCTCCAAAAAAAATAAATTAAAATTAATGGTCGTGATTAAAAGGTATTAACTAATG